CAATATTCCAGCTGTATGACAGCTGGAAAGTAGGACAGCTCTGTATGACCATTTTCTGGACATTTTTGATGCATAGAGAGAATAAAAAAAAAATTGTTTCCCACTGGTTTAACAAAAATAAATAGGACAGCCTAATCTGTAGCAATGAATGCATTTGTCACGCTGTCTTGAGACTCATTTCTTCAGCACAGTTACCTTTTGTTTATCCCCCTGAAAGTATAATAGCAAATATACATAGATTAGGCTCTAAACTCTTCCTGTGATAGCTATAACTGAAAAAATGAGGAGCAGTGTGGAATAAAGCTATAAGAGTTCACAGTGGGCTTTGTTTTGGTTTGGTTTGGTTGGTTTTGTTTTAATGGGGGTACTTTGGAGGGGTTGTTTTGTTATTTGTTTGTTTTTTAAATACTAGTGCTGTTGTAGCCAAGATGACCTATTCCCAAGGTTTTTAGGGAGGGACTTTTATCAGGCCGAGAAATACCCCTGGAAGGAAGCACACTGTTTCCTGAAGCATCTGTGTGTTTCCAAGCTAGCAGTATCTTTAATGTATATGTACATCCTCTTTTTTCAGAGTGGGAGCTTAGGCAGTCCTCCATCTGCAAATAATTGGGCATTGCCTGCATTCCAAACAAAAGGATTTGAGGCTTTTGTTTGAGCTGATTTTCCTCCTCCTTCCTGTGGCTTGAAGTGGCTGAGGGGAAGCTTGCATGTTGTAGGGGTCAGTCTTAGCCCTCAAAAGAATTAAGGACCTGATTTTTGTTTGTTTTCTCCAGGGTGATTTCAGTGATATCAACATCTCCACAGAAAGAGAGAAAGAGGGGAAGAGAAGGGCCTAAACTTGGACTATCCCAGAAGCTGAAACAGAAGTAGCAGCAAGGATTGCAGCACCCAGAGACACATGATTTCATGATGCATATTTAAAATAATCACCTTCCTTGCTTGTTTTCAGTATTTTTTAGTATTCTGCTCAACTGCTGAGTGTCATACCATGGGAATAGCTGCCCTCAGGCTTAGCTGAATTATTGGTGAGAAGTCTAGTCTAGTGAGAGGTGTCCCTATCCAATCCATGGCAGAGGGCTTGGAACTAGGTGATCTTTGAGGTCCCTTCCAACCCATAACATTCTATGATTCTGTATCAAATATATCCACACTTATTTCTTGCTGATGTTCTCTATGAGCCGTTTCTCCTACATCATATTGAACGGCAGGGAGCCCACAGAGGAAAGCACTAACCAGTTAATCTGGCCTCACTGTAAACTTAGATGAAGTAGAAGATGAGCAAACTAACTCCTTTTTTGTCTCTTACCAGTGCCCCTGCCAAACACGAAAAAATGAGCTCACTTTTACAGCCGTTCTTTGGCAAGAATAACTTACAAGGAGGTCTTAAAAATGTCTTTACTGAAGCAGATTATCAGCCTGATGCTCTTGCCATATGGAGTACGTAGGTGTGGGCCACCAAGGTACTAGAAGTGAGAGAAGTGGAGATTCCTCCTCCTTAAATGTGTGAATTGTTATTGCACTCATTAGTTTTCGAAGCTGTCCCTCTTGTTCACAACGAAATTGGAAAAAAGCACAAGAAGTATGTGCTGCCCATATTCTGCCCATGGAGTGATCTTTCAAGACAGACACGTGCTGTGCCATCACCCAGACAAGAAAGGACAAGTCAAGGTCTGCCAATCATTCAAAACTTCTCCCAGGAAATCTGAAAGACGGTCATACATAACCCCTGGGAATGGCTTTAACTACAGCTCTGGGAAAATATAATAAACAGGGATGTTTAAACATCCCAAGTGCTGCTGCAAATCTGAGTGATAAACAGTAGGGTTGTAAACAACATGTAGAGGTCATCCAGGCCCTTCTATAGTCACACAGCTCACCCTTGTGAGTGGAGGTGCTCATACAGCACAAAGCAGAACACAGAAATTGCAGCAATAATTATATTTAAAAACGGAATGGATGATACAACAATGAAATAAATGTGTTATTTCTGTCCTCTGTACCACTGAGCACAGCCCTTGTCAGGGCTCCTCTGTTCCCTTGCAGCTCAGTTCTTACCTGCTGCTCCTGCACCTCTGGGTCACCACTCATGCTCTGGCTCAGCTTTTCTTTCCCATCTCTGGCCAAGAAGCACAGCAGAGCAATTTTTGGAGGGCAGAAAGGATTGGCATCAGGAAGTGTAATAATTTGGAAAATACCACCCACCTCCTTCTCCTCCTTCTCTTCCTCTTCTTAAAATTCAGATCCTCATTCTTAAAATTCTTGCTCTTCAGGAGACAGGAACTGTACAGCCTGTCTTCTTGTGCCACACTCTGAGAGTATCATGCTTAGTGATACGTGACATTGATGATAACCCTTTCTTCTCAAAGGCTGAAACAAAAAAAAAAGGAATTTAGAAGGAAAAAAAAGAGAAAAAAAATTAAAACCAGATGTGGGAATATTCTGGGTTTGGTTTTGGTTTGGTTTTTTTTGGGGGGGGGAGGGGATTTTTTTTTTTCTTTTGCATGCCAAAAGAGAGAAAAATCACATTCTGAAAAATTTTCAGTACTTTCTGGGGACATCCTTGTGCATCAGTCAGTTCCCTGCTTTCCTGTTTCTAGCAAAGTTTTATATTTTTCAGTATTAATCATAATAATAATAATAACAACAATAATGCATCTGGCTCTCCACATCACCAGGGATTTGTGACTTTCCTTGGCTCTCCCTTTCCTTTACCAGGCTTCAAGTGATGTTTTTTCAGGCTGCAGCGGGGATTGCATCACCCTGTTCCTGGCTATGTGTTCATCCCATGTGAATGCTTGTGAGCGTCTGCTCTGGAACAGATTGAGAAAAATTCAGTAAAATCCTGTTACCACTTGTAACCTTTGTGATACGTGTCCTGCAAAGTGGTTTTGGACCTGAATCTATTGGCCTTGGCCGAGAAATTGTCTTTTACCATTTACTTTTGAGTATTTATACATGTGAACCCCTGTGCAAACCTGCTTGATGCCTATTTATTAGTTGAATTTAAATTATTTTGTTGCGATTTTCATTTGTGACTCTTGTCGAAGGTCTTTCCTTCCTCAAAAAATATGGAAACACCTTTTTAATTCCATATAAAAATGGAGAAAAATGCTGGTTATCTCAGTATGTAATTAGTAAAGGCTAAGTCAGCACACGCACAGTGCCTGTCAGTCTAGAAGGGGTGAAAGACAGAGCTGTGTGACTGGTGTGGGGAGGAAGGAATTGGAGGGAGAGGTTTTAGATGTCTTCTGCAGAGTGTGACTGGAAGGCACCTGAGATGAGATATAAACCCAAGATCTGGTCATAGTTTAGAAAAGAAAGGCTAAGGGAAAAGGTTTAAGGAAAATGGAAAGGATAAAGGGAAAGGAGAAGAGAGAGAAGAGGGGGAAAGGAAGAAGATGGCCAAGTTACACCTCCATGTTCAAAAAAATATCCATCAGCAATGGCTAAAAGATGTGACCTGTCTTTTTTGATGTGGCAGTCAGTGCAATGACCAAAGAATTTTATAATTGCAGTCTGGATTCTTGCTAGATACAGCACTGTACGGGAATGCAATTAGTACAGCTAAACCAAATTATTTCAGGATGTTCTTTTTCAACATCCCTTTGCCTCGTGGGGCCCTTTGCAAAGAGGGAAGTGTGGGCTTAAAATGCACTGGCTCCTGTTTTTGTTTTCAAGTGTGACTCAAAACACAGGCTTTAGCTGATGAATTGGATGTGATTTGAAGTCCTTGTTCCTGACAGACTGTATTTTCCTACCAACCTCTGGACAGGAGGCACTGCTGGCAAGGGAATTTGTCTTTAGTCTCTCTCTGCCTGATGGCCCATCAGAGCCATGTCTGGACACATGTGGGGCCTGTCTCTCCACACACAGCTGGCATCAAAATGCTGAGATTCTTTAACTGAGCAGACATAACCAGGCAGCTTTCTGCACTCATTGCACCATTTTTGCAGATCAGTTAATCACTGAGCATGTCCTGGAGGATTAGTATTCATCATTTCTTTCATTAATGTAAAAGAAAAAAAAAAGATGTGCCTTTGCACGTGAATCAGTAATTTCATCCCACTGCCATTCCCAGCTGTGTCCAATGCATGGCCACCAAGGGCAGGCACAGCCCCGTGTCCCTTGGGGCACAGGGACTGCCTCGAGGCCAGCACCCCAAAGGCCTTCCACTGAAGAGCAGACCTTCCTTTGGAAAAAACAAATCTTCCTTTAGAAGAAAACAAACCTTTATTTAGAAGAAAACAAACCTTCCTTTAGAAGAACAAGGGAGCTGGCGAAGGATCTGGAGCACAAGTTCTATGAGGAATGGCTGAGGGGAACTGGTGGTGATAACCTGGAGAAAAGGAGGCTCAGGGGAGACCTTATCAGTCTCTACAACCACCTGAAAGGAGGTTGTAGCCAGGTGGGGGGCAGTCTCCTCTCAGGCAACAAGCCCAATCCAAAAGGAAATGGCCTCAAATTGCAGCAGGGGAGGTATAGTTTAGAGTAGATACTGAGAATAAATTCTCGCGGAAAGGGTAGTCAGACATTTGAACAGACTGCTCAAAGTGGTGGAGTCATCATCCCTGCAGGTATTTAAAAGATGTGTAGATGTGGCGCTCAGGGACATGGTTCAGTGGTGGCCTTGGCAGTGCTGGGTTAATGGTTGGACTTGATGACATTCAGAGATCTTTTCCAACCTAAACAATTCCGTGATTCTACACCTTTATGAAGTGGAGGGCTGCTTAGGTGGCTATTAGATTTTTAGAAGTCATATAGTCCTTGAGATGAGGGCAGGCAGTTCAGAACTTTAGGACCAACAGATCTACACAGATATCACCTTTCAGACTTTCTGATTGCACAGGAGCTTTGCTGATTGTCGGAACAACTGGAATACAAATAACTTGGAGACCAAACAATTGCACTGATTAAGGTTTTTTGGTTTTGGTTTGGGCTTTTATTTTTAGTCAAATTTCGTTTTGAAAAATACACAAAATCTGAGACAAAGGTTTGGAGGGTAGGACACAGAAAGACAATCACAGGATGTACAGTTCTTACATTCAAATCCTTCTGTGAAGGGGAACCCCAGCTGTTGCACTGTTCTGTACCCAGGGTAGACAAGTACCTGCTGAGCTTCACTGCAGCAATAGCACAATGTGAGCGTGGGATGTTGTCCCTCTTCCCCACCACGGGGAAAGGGCCCTTTGTTAAAAAATTCAAAGGTAACCATTCCCTTTACCTCGATGGATAACATCATTTTAAGTTCTAATTTATTCTGTTCCCTTCTTCTCTTTCCTTTGAAAGAAAAAAGTGCAAATCAAAATGACTTCACTGGAGTCCTTATGAATCACTTCCCCTGCTCGAGGGCTCAGCCCGGAGGGGTGTGTTGCAGTCACTGCTGATAAGCCGCCCAGGGGAGTAGTTCTGTCCTCTGGATGCTTTTTGGTTGTGAAATAGGGTAGCTGCAGTTCTGGCCCGAAACAAAACTTCTGCACTTTCTTGACACTGTTTGTAGCAGGATCCTTCCAACCTACAGGACCATCGAACTCTACCCGAATTGAACATTTCCAGAAATGAACCTATTTAGTTTGCAGTCAGTTACAATGATTCTGAGGAGTTTTTAAATACCTTTCTCTTCCCCCCCCCCCCCCCAAGGTGCTGTTTTTAACGAAGCTACGTTGTCACAGTAACAATTTCTTATTGCACAGTTTTACCTTAAGTATCCAACTTTTTGGTGATGCTCACGTTTGTGAGCAGTGCTTCATGACAAAAAAAAAGAGGAAACGTTGAATTCACCCTTCTAAAGCTTTTTGGCTGATTTGGACTTTGTAGTAATACATCACTTCCTTCCTCTGTGTTGATGTTTTATTAGCTTTCATCCCCTTTCTCCATCAGCTTCACCCTTCCGCTGAAGAAATACTATGTTTCTTGTGGAAAAAAAAATGTTCTTACTAATAGCCCATGACGCTTAAGAGTGAAAACAGAAGCTAAAGTTCCACAGCCTGCAGTTTCACAAGGTTTCCTTCTTTATGTTTCACAAAATGGGAGGTCCTTCCCACTTCCAGATTTTGTCTGGCACAAAGGGTGATTACACCTGCTCCTCCTTTCAGCTGTCTCTGAAGGACAGCAGATGAGATCTTAAGCAAAACGTCTCACTAAGGTCAATTATAATGTCACCCTGTAGTTTTGTGAGTCTTTTATCCTGTTATTAAAGAAAACCCACAAAATCCAAATTAAAATGTTCCCACTGGCAGCACTAAAACTGGACTCCAAGAACCAAATGGAAGAGCAGATTTGCCACCTCGGAGTTTTGCTGCCTTTGCTTTTTTTTTGGAACCAAAATGTGGGACCTGAACACCCAGTGCTTCGTCTGTTTTCAGCTACTGGTGTTTCTGTCACGTGGCTCTGGAACCCACAGGCCTGTTCTGCCCAGTGATGTCCCCTGGCGAGGAAAACTTCCCAAAGGCAAGGTTGCCTTCCCCGGTTACAAGTGCCAAACCCCCAGTGTGACCAGGAGGTGGAAAGAGAGGGAAAGTACAGCCAGACGTGGTGTTTCAGGAGGGCTTCTGGAGGGAATCTGACTCTGCCCTGAAAAATTAAAGAAAGAGAAAGTTGACGTGTAAGTGGTGACTTGACAAAAAGCGTATTTGAAGTTTGTGTGATGCGTTTTACATGAGTGCATTGATGGAAGGGTGTTTGTAGAACTGATGTGGATTTTGGCTCATTTTCAAAATTCTCCTTTTGTGTATGAGCACACCACCCAGAAAAGCCAGTCTCAAGGTACTGCGACAAATAATTTTTTCTCTGTCACAGAAAAGGTGCAGAAAGAGACAAGTAATACAACTTAATTTTCTGGATGACTAAGAATGGTTTAAAATCCTGGTAGAAAAACAGCAACCAGCCTAGGGGAAGGTGTCCCTGCCCACAGCAGGGGGGGCTGGAACTGGGTGATCTTTAAGGTCCCTTCCAATCCAAACCATTCTATGATTCTAGGATGAAAACACATTATCATTCTTCCCTCTCGGGTTCTGAGGTAGACATTGTGATTAGGAGTCCATAAATAATGGCAATAAATATTAAAAAGCCTGGGCTGCAGTTGCTTAGGTGGCAGCAGTGTTGTGTATCACTATTTGTATGTAACCCACAAGTGGATAAATTACCCTTGCTGGAGCCAGGTGTTGTACACCAGTGAAAAGAGATTTTGAACCCCTGATTTGAACAGAAGAGAAATGTTTCCTTTAAGTGTTCAGGTCCAAGTGCTTTTCTGGAAAGATCAGGCTGTACATTGTTTGTTATATCAACAGCCTGAGGGCTGTTCCTACTGCTGTGAGACACCTTTCAGTGTCTCATTGTAGTTAACTCATCACTACTCGAGGTGCTTCCCCCTCCTCTTCCTAGAAGAAGTATCTGATCCTGAAGTGCAGAGAGCAAGTAAACATTAGGTAGTCCTCAGTAACACTTTCAAATTAGGATTATAGCAAGTCTCCTGGCCTCTTGTGCCCTCTTCCAGGCCAAGGCCCTTTCATTTTTCCCAGAAAAAAAAAATGTTAAACAAGTTTTATTGACCCAGAAGGAGTCTTGCAAGGCACGCAGAGTGACAATACAATTCTGCTCTTAAAAATAACTAGATAAAATAATCAATCCAGCAAACAAGGAGAAATGGGACCAAAGGGAAACAAATCAATCAAGCCAATCAGTGTAGCCAAATGAAACAAAGCTGTTTCTGTTTTATATAAAGAAATAATATCTGCTTCTCTGGTTGACTGTGAAGTGTCAATGAGAACTAGTGAAAACTATTTGCATACAATGCCTTTGTTCTCAGCAGGTCATTTGACTTTTCTGAGTCCCTTCCAAAATAGCAACAAATAAAAACCAGATTCTCCTCCTCCCTTTCTTAAGAAATTGCTGAAAAGAAAAAAAAAAAAAAAAGAAAGAAAGGAAAAAAGGAAAAAAAAGGGAGATGTGGCTAATGATTTGCTGTAAAAGATGTTGACAACAGGAAATACTTTTTTCCCTTTTGCAAAAAATTACAGTTAGAGGGTTAGGATTTTGTTCTGTCCTCCTCCCCAAGCCCCTCAAAATCCAGCAGTACAAGAACCATCCGGTGTCAAAAGTGTGTGATTCAGTTTGTACTCCTATAGAAAAACAAAACATTTGCCCCTTGTCCCAATACTTTTTTTTTTTTTCCTCAGCAAAAATACTTTTCCATAGGAAATAGTTTATAATGGGGGAAAGTTGTTGGGAAGCTTTTGACTGATTCAAACATATGTACAACTTTAAATACAGCTTACTTATCTTTTGGTTTTCAGGATTTTCCATTGCTATTCATTAAGAAGTTTGACCCTTGATAAGTTATTATTGTTTTGTGGGAGGTAACAACAAGAGATATTACGGAGATATTTGCTTTTGTAATGTTGTAATGTTGTGCTGTGCCACTGGAGATATATGATACCATCTAGAATTTAACTTCATGTTTCTTAAAGACCTTTAAACTAGTTAGAGCACTTAGGTCCGAAAAAAGGATATTTCCTGTAATTTTTCAAGTTGTTTTTTGGTCATGAAGCACAGAACTATTGGTTTGTTGGGTTTTTTTTTGTTAGGTTTTGTTTTTTTTTTTTTTCCTGTGTGGTCATGAGATAAAACACTGTTGCATTTCTCTTCCTTAGTTTCTGTTTGAGTTTATTGTGGTCTAATCTGTCTGTAATATATTGTGGCTGAACTTGTCAAGTTAACTGTAATAAAATTACTGTTCTATGTAAAGGATCATACCTTTCAGCTGCACTGATACAAACTGCAGCTATTGATTTTATATGACAAACTGTTACAGGTTTGATACCAACTTCAGATTTTGTAGAGCTAATAAGAGTAATTTGGCTTGTAAGAAGGATTTTAAGGGAGTACTTACTGATGATGGTGGGTACAAGCTGGGCATCCCTTCTGTATTGCATTCACTCTAGAAGTGCCTACAAGTGACCTTGGTGTAGTTACCTCTCTGTAATGATTAACCTACATATGAGCATCTGCACTGTATTTCAGAATTGCCTTTGGATGAAATCTACCTTAATTTCCTAGAAGAGCTTATGTGGAGTCATTAATCGTATTTTTTTTGAATATTTATTACTAAAAGGACTCCTCAAATCTCTTGATCTGGTAGCTCAACTCTACAACTCCCTGAAAGGAGTTTGTAGTGAGGTGGGAGTTGGTCTCTTCTGCCTTGTCTCGAGTGAAAGGGCGAGAGGAAACGGCCCTAAGTTGTGCCAAAGGAAGTTCAGATTAGATAGGAAAAAAATGTCACTGAAAGAGTGATTATACACTGGAATAGGTTGCCCAGGGGGGTGGTAGAGTCACCATCTCTGGAAGTGCTCAAGAGGATGAATCTGAGTGTGGCACTCAAGGAGAGTTTAGGGTTGACTGTGGTGGATGATCTTGAGAGTCTCCTCCAACCCTGAGGATTCTGGGATTCATTCACATCGAGGTAGTTTACAAAGCCCTTAACTCCCAGAACAGAGTGGCTTCCACGTTACTTGTTTTTTTTACTGATTTTTTGGATGCCCATGCTGTGATTGTAGCTTTATGGATTAGTGACTGCTGGCACTTCAGGATTCTTCTTCCTGCAGTCAAGGTCTGCCTTAGTGGTGGAGATATTTTTCCCTGTCTGGGAGAGCTGTACTTTGCCAAACTCAGTAAGAGAGAACAAGCGCTGTAAGTTTATTGGACTTTCTCCGTTCATCAGATTTTACCAATCTTGCAAATTCAAACCAAAGAACTGGATAATCGCTCAGACACTTAGAAAATTAAGGAGTATTGCCTTACCAGAAGAAAAAGGTGTCTCCTCAGTCATACGTGGGGCTGGAAAAAAAAAAACCCAAGAGTCAAAGTTAATTGTTTGACCGTAGAACAGAAAAAGTGTACTGATAATTGATCTAAGGGCCAGTGTTTTGGGTTTTTTCCCTGAGTAAGAACACATTTGTCAAACAAACTGAAACTTTAAGTAGGATCACAGAATTAAATCAGAGACACCTTATTGCTCCCAAAAATTAGCTGATGAGATGATGGAAATATTTAGGTTACGCATTTCCAAAACTCTTCCTTTTTAATTTTGAAAACTGCAAAATATTTCACTTTGAAATTTCCTGAACAAAAGCATTTCACTTTAAATTTTTAAAACTTTTTTTCTTTAGAATGATGTGCATTAAAAGAAAGATATTAAAGGGTTTCTATTGCTTGAAAACAATTCTTTTTCTATTTTAAGCAGAATTAAATGTATATGGTTGACCATAATGAAAGTTTCCAGCTGGTTTATTCAAGTAAGACACCGTAAAAAGGTATGATTTGTTTTGATGTGTATACCCTTTTTTCTTAACTTTCTTTTTCAGCTGGTCAGCTGGTCAAACCCAATGCCCCATCCTTCTGGTGGCCATGCTGGTAGGTAGTTCAAACATCATCTCAGTTGTTTGGCATTATTCAAGCATGTGTTATGGTCTCACTCATTTTCCTAAGGGAGAAAAATGATAATTCTTGTTGCACGTGTCCAGTCTTGTCACCAGATCCAGATCTACCAGATGCAAGGGAAAAGGAAACTAGCATCTGGCTCTTTTGTCTGAAAGGTCTGTGGCCTGGACTTTGACACTACAAATCCAAAAACAAGTGCCTAAATTTGGGGAGAACTCAGAATTCATATTGTCTCCTGTGAAGGGAGGGGGAAGAGGCAGGTGGTTTGCCTTTCAGAGTCCTGCTGCTTCTGTGGATGTGCTGTGCTGAACCTTGACAGAGTCTTTTTTTTTTTTTTTTTTCCTTTCTTACACTTTCTTCCCACAAAAGCAAGGAACAGAATTGAACAGAATGAACAGAATGAATGAAAAATTACTTCAGAAATTGAAGTCATCCCAGTCAGTGGCCGTATAAGGCAGAACTAAAAAAAAAAAGTCTTACCTGAGACATTGAGTTTAATATATGATTTCTTTGTTTGATGATTCTGATCCTGTTTGTAGATGCAGGTATACTCCGCACTGTCCTGTAACTGGACATTGGAGATCTTCAAGGAAAGGTTGCCGTGCTTCATCTGGTCCAAAAAAAGGCTGGTTCTGCCACAGAAATGTTTGTCCTGGGACCCCAGTGAATCCTGCCCTTTCTGAAAAAAGTGCACTATCTTCTTGTCAATCTGCCAGTAGAGCATTGACTTGGAAAAGATCAGCTCTCCAGGAGGGCTGGTGGTGCAAGGCAAAACAACAGTTTCTCCAACAAATGCATGGTATATACTTTCTTGTTGACCTGGAATGAAAAACAGACAACTTCATCAGTGTGCAGCAGACATAGGGACAACAGCTTTCCTATAATTTGGCTTCATCACATGATTATTGCCACTCTTCCTCCCACTTCTTCTGCTCCCAGCCAGGCAGGAGTCCAGACATGCCAGGATCGAGCGCCCAGCCACCTGTGCAGTAGGACAGATGTTGCTATGTGCAAGTTGCCTTCACTTTGGCAATGTGGTTTCTGATTGAACTTGTTTCCACTTGCCTCCTTAGCTGGTGATTTTTCTCCCAGCTTCTGGGGATCTTAGTCTTGAGATCAAGGTGTCTGATTTGACTTTAACAGGTCAGTTCACAAGAGGAAAAGGGGATGCAGGGAAGTGAAGATGGGCACACATGATTCAAAAAGTTCTGGTTTTGTAGGAAGTCTGGCTGAAATAAAAGGAGAAGTGTGAAAAGTGAGTGCTAGACCAGCAGGAGAAAACTCCTGGATGGGTTTGGTCTCCCCCAATTCCCATTGCTTGGCTTTCAGATCGTGACTCCCAGCTTGCAAAGAATGTGCTAGAGGCCCCCATCACCCTTCTCCTGTGAGATCTTGCAGGGGGTCTGACAGAACAGGGCTTTTTTTCTGCAGATCTGGCTTGTTGTACTCTTGCTTGTACCTGTTCCGTGGTCTCTCATGCTTTGGCATTATTGTCCAGTAGCCCAGAAAGAAGAGTCTGTCATTTCCACTTTATCTAAATGACTTTTCCAAGGCCTTGGGGAAACTTTGTAGGTTTTCTAGATGAAGAAAGGTGTTACCAGCCTTGCCAACCAATTCCAGCACATGCAAGAGCCAGGATGAGGATGGCATGCAGGTCAACACACAGAGGGGCACAGGCAGGGCAGGCAGCCACCTGCACATCACTTACAGACACTGTTCATTTAATAAATCTGATGCCAATTATTATTATAAATTCTTCCAAGTTAGTTGAAAGCATAGTAAAACTTGTACAAGTGGATGAGTCTGCCACAGGGCTATGGAAGAAGGTTTGTATGTATTTATAAAGCATAGACAGGTAGGTATTTTCAGCACAGAGTGTGGGCTTAAATGAACTTCTTGACCAAACCTGTTTCATAAAATGATTTTAGAAATTAAAATGCAGATGAATTAATTTGGATGGAAAAGTTATCCCCAGCAGGGAGCAGAACAAAAGCAGTGTGAGTCTGTGATCGTGCCAAGAAAAAAACCCTAAAGTTCACAGTGAAACAACTCAATCTGTTTTCATGGCCAAAGTTCTGTGAAGCACAAGGGGCAAGTAATATTGAAACAAATATTTTTGGTCACAATGTGGTCATTCCTGTGTTCTAGGCTTGCATCAGCTCTCTGCATATATTAGGCTCAAGACGAAAAAGAGTCCCAGTTTCCCTTTGAAGTCAGTGGCTCATCAGCCAGGGCTCAGCTTGTCACATGCTCAGGCCTCTGTTTCCGTGTCAATCAGTGTCTGTTTTGAGGCTTTTTTGGTGTCACGCTGTGTCCATTCAGACAGACAGAAAAGCAGAAGGAAAAGTATAACACAGAAAGCTGAACCTCAGAGCCAGCTAAGCGTCTTTGATTAAAATCTGTATCACCAAGCATCTGCCTTCCTTAAGTTTTCAGATTTTTCGGCTGAAAAATCCCAGTCTGGCTTCGCCCAGCAATGTAAAGTTTTAGCTGAAAAAACCACATATCTCCAGTGCAATTTCTGGTTGGTGGTGGAAGCAGAGTCACCCTGAGGCAAGGCCGTGTCTGAAAGCAGATTGTGGTCATGGCTGACCATGGTTAGATAAACCACAGTGGGAGATGAGTGTGCCTGGGGCTGCTGCAGGTGTTTTGGAAGCAATGGAACAAGTGAACCTCCAGAAGAGCTTTCTGGTGGGAAAAGCCCTTTCCACAAGATGCCTTTAGGAGAGAGGGTGCTTGCAACATGTGCAGTTGCACATGGATGAAGAAAATATAATCTTTACATGAGCAGAACTTGTAGCTCTGTTCAGAAAAATGGACAATGAGCATTTTCTTAATGAGCAAAAGAGGGAGAAAGAGCGTGGATCCTATCTGCTGATTGTGGATGCTTCTAAATTTCATACTGGTTTTGGAAGTGTATCTACTTGCTTTTGGGGCTTTTTATTCTTTTTCTGAAGCTGGAGGACAGCAGTACATAGCATATGAGCTTATCACAACCATTCCTTTCCTCTGTACAATCCCTGTAACACTTGTGATGATTCTTTAAACTCCCACCCTGCCCTACACTGCTTTCAGCTGGTAAAACCAGGCCAGCAGGAGCTGAAAAAAAGGAGGCACTGCTGAAATTTGCTGGGACAAAAGCAGGTGACTGAAATCTGCTGTAATGAGTTGCTTAATGAGCCTACAGCTGCACAAGGTCTTTTGTAGATGGAGAGAACAGACTTCTGGGTACAAGTCAAGTAAGTGTCCTTCTGGAAGCCGCTCTTGAGAAGAAGAGTGAAGTCATGCAGAAGGCTGGTGATGTTGTGTTAATCTTCCCATTGAGGCTGTTGATGTACCAGGAGATGTGGAAGTGGGAACCTCCTGGCCAGGAGTCTGAAGCAACCGTGCAGTGGAGGTGGTGGCAGCTGGATGAGCAGCGAAGGAAGCAGGATGAGAAGTGCTCACCTGACCTACTGGGTAAGCTTTGCATGCAGAAGGTGCAGGTCTCTATTGTGGAACAAACTGTGGCACTCAGCTTCCACTTGCAGTTTTAACACTTGAATGCCAAGTGAGATGAGTTTATTCTTTTTTTTATTATTGTGTGTTTCAAATATTGCCCAAATGTTTAAAGCTATCAAGATGAAGTTGAATGGGTCAATTTAACCAATCTGTAAGATATCTACGATGAGAAAACACTGCTGCTTCAGCATCCAAAGTGTGGGTGCAGGGAAGCTCACAAAGACTGGGGTTTTTTGTTCTTCTCTCCTTTTTTCCCTGAAGGTTACTTAGGTTAATAAATTTTGTTTATTAGTTGTATATTGCTTCTCTGTGGAGACTCATGAGAGGTTTTGCTAAAAGTCGGTTGTGCTTCCAGGAGAGAAGGGGAGATGGGTTCCAGATGAAGTGTGACCTCCTCAACCACTGCAGCATCTGGTAGGTGTGAGGCACTTCTGAGCAAACAGGAGTCTTGACCACACACAGAGCTCTTACTACTGCTGAATTTAAACCTCAGATAAGGAAATTGCAGGGAGTTACCCCTGCACCTCGTATAAAATTCTCTCCCCAGCACAGACTAGTGGGTCTCTTTCTTGGGGAAGATTAGATCTATTCCAAATAATGTCAGAAACCCAACTCTGAAAGAACTTGGCAGAGCATGTGCAAAGGTTTAGGGAGAGTTTGCTGCTGGGCTCCAGTCCTTTTGCTTCCCTTGTTATGCCTGTAGAGAGCTTGGTATCTTAATGAGTTTAAATACAAAACCAGATCCAAGGCACTTGGTTGCAAAGGATGAGATTCCAAGCCATGCTTAATATTATGGAAATGGTAGAGCACTTTTAAGGATCTGTCAGGATAAGCTTTATAGGTAAAAGTTTGTGAGTCTGAAACACCTTAACTTGGAAACTACTTCTTTTGGATACAGAGGTTTAGCTGAAGGTTATGACCTATACTTGCAAACCTTGGACTGTGATGAAATGCATGCAAAGCAATGCACGCATTTGTTTTGTTTTGCTCCAAAATTCTGTTGGCAGTTTGTGTGTTCACATATAAATACTTCTGCAAATTCCTAGGTGTGTATTATAATTTATTTACCTCTGGGTAGAGACACAAGCAGCAAGCAGGCAACCATCCAGAGTGCAGTCTCCCTAATGAGAGAGAGAAAGGTCAAATGCTTTGTTAGAATGCTAGAGCAGAGATCAAAGACCTTTTCTCTGGTGTAATTTATCCTGCCTTTCCCAACTCCTTCATCTGTGAAGATAATTTGGGTATGAAGGTGGATGGATTAGAAACTCTGCCTTATTCTGTCATCTAGTCCTGGTGTGGGTTTTACCTCCTTCCTGAGGTTTCTCAGTGGTTGTAATAGGATGGGGCTTCGGCTGCAAACACCTGACCCCTGGCTTGCATTCCCATGTAGACAAAGTTAATTGCATGTCATCACAGTTTGCTCTTGGGATTATTTTCTGTTGGCAATTAAATGAAATTTCTTTGCTCCCAAACCTCAGCTGTTTTGCAGCACAAAATAAAGCACAACTTACCCTTTCATTTTTGTGCCTTCCCAGCCCTTTGGGAATCCGTCCCTGTTGGGAGCTTCACCAGGCGCTTCAGCTGCAAGTTGTGTCTCTGCAAAAGAGTGAATGGCTCTTAATTTTTGTTGTTGTAAGCGTTTCTTATAGAAGAAAATAGGTATTTTACCTGTACTTCACTTGCTGTGGTTCAGTCTGTTTTCTTTCACTCTGTGTATGTAAAACATGATGTATTATTATGTACACTGTGTATATAATGTGTATACATATTGTATATTTACACTGTCTGTGTATCTGCATTCTGAATCCACTCTTGCAATACAGAAAGTGTCTTTTCTTGTGTAGGAGGGATGTGAGTCACAAGCCATGCACTGACTAGCCTGGAGCTTCCAACCCAGCGAAGGGATCCTTGTTCTGTAGCCAGCTGAGATCAAAGAAAGTGATAAAACCTGATGGGTCTTGCATTTATTAGGAGGTGTAAACACCATCCCACAAACTACCAAATACCACTGAAGCTTGCGTATCTACCAGCAAAAATAACAAGCCTATAAGGAAAATGATGCTTAAAAGAGATTTTTTTGAGGGAGATTTAAACAGGTACTGTCTCAGGAAAAAATCCAAAATGGAACAGGCGTGGAAGCAGGAGGAAGAATGTGGGTTTTGGGCTTTCTCTTGCCATCCTCGTAGCATCTCATGGCTTAAGGAGTACAAATATCTGAGTGATTGTTCCTCCATGTGTGCTCCAGGATAATGCTGATGGTGGAAGCAGTGGTTTTCCCACTGAGGAAGCTCTATATGGGGAAGGTGCTGGGCTTCCTGGGGTAGGCAAGAACCAAGACCTGGATTTTTGTGTTCCTGCCTCTCTCATTGTGGCCAAACCCTGGTTATGCTTCATTTAACAGCCCCTTTCTGATACTCAGTGCAAAGCCATCTGCCATCTTTGGCTTCTTTGGCATTAAAACCAGTGTGTCCTCTGTGTTTTTTATGAACTCCTGTGGTTGCCTCTCTCCTCCTTAGAGGAGGTTATTGTTTCAAGCAAGGGTAAAAATTTATGGAAAGTGAGCTTATTACATATGTGTTTCCTTCCTGCCTACCTTCTGTAAATGGAATTCAGGCACTGATGACCCCTTTTATCACAGAATCATAGAGTCATTTAGGCTGGAAAAGACCCCTGAGTCCAAACTTTGACCAATTACCACCTTATCAAGAAACCTTTCCAGGAAGAAATTCCTCCTGAGGAAGTCTGAACTCCTAAAAGTGATGTCGTTCTTCTGAAGGGGCAGTCATTTTCTTAACAGTCATTTTGATTCTGACTCAAGAAGAACATGAAGGTTTGTGTCATTGCTGTTGGCTGCTTTACTCCCACAGAGTCCCTGTGGGGTTTTTGGTTCTCACAGATGCTTGTTCAAAACTTTTGGATCAGGGAACAAGTGGGATCAGAGTTGAAATATCAGACTGCATGTGAATGTTGAGCTCTCTTGTCATCCACGTGCTGTTGTTACTTCCCTGCTGAAATTTAGGCTTGTGCATAAAGAAAAAGCAAGGCAGGTCTTGCTTTAGGAAGCGGTGTCTAACCGCAGGAATGCTTCCGATGGGTGTAGCTGGAGGACCTGACCCTTAATTTAGGTTAATTCAGTGCTGTTTAGTTGAAATAACATTTCTTTCTGGTTTGAGCAGACTCTGCTTGGAACAAAAGTGTTTACACTGAGTCCATAGAAGGATTTTCCTTGGTACCATAAAGGGGAGATCTGTTCCTTCCTGTCTGTTCAGGCGGTGTAAGATATTTCATTCACCATATGAATAAGAATTTGACACAACTTCTATTATTTAACTTTTTTTTTTTCTTTAACTGCTACTTTAGGGGTTTAGGAAACTAACCATCTTTTTATTTTTTTCTTTTTTTATATATATTTTTTTACAAATTTAAAAGGTGACCCATTTATTGTTCATTTTAATCGGACAAAGGAATTATTTAGGACTTTTTCAGAGATTAAAATAATTAACTGAGTAAGGCTTTGTAATGAATAATCACTTCCTGAAGAATTAAAATGCTAATTAATAACTATTTAACACACTACCCGACATGAAATTATTAAGGCATTAGTGTAATTAAAGCATATGGTTAAATTGTACAACTGTGATCTTCTTGGAAATCCCACTTCTGCGTCATATGTGCAAGGCTGTTTATTGAGCACATTAGCTCAACCTGCAATAAAATTAAATTAATCAAGTGAGGCAAGTGATCAAATGCTCCCAGTGCCTGTAGAATAGCAAGGCTTTGTGTCCCAAAGCAAACTGATTCAAGTTATCTCTTTCCAGTGCAGGAGAGATGGGGGAGAAAGGGTCTGAATGCTATTGTTGAGGTCTTTATACATTCACTGGAAAGAGTGATCATTCTGGGATACAGATCAGAAAGTACCTGGGAATTGGAAATCTAGAGAAGGATTGAGAAGGTTTTATGGTCTGATGGGGGAAAGCAGGGGGCTGAGCAGGGAGGGTGCTGCCAAGGTGGAAGCTTCTCATTATGCACCTGGTAAAGCTTGGTAGCTTAGTCACCGGTAGTTTCTCCAAGTATGAGTTTTTCTTTTTCCCCCTCCCTCTCTTGCATGCCTTTGGCTTTTGAAAACAGATTTATGCAAGCTGACTGTTGTTACTGATGCTTGTAGGAGGATGGGGGAGGTGCCTTTTTCCATGACTTTGTGAAATCCTGAGTGTACCCTCAGCAAAGAAATCTCACTTTCCTTTTCCTTATCCACATCAAGGCAACCTTCTGTCATTTCTTTAAATGCTCTCCACTGATGCAACCACCCAGTCCTTTTGCCTTCAGGTAAAAGCTACTGGCTAATAGAAAGTTAATGAATGAGCTTGCAAGCGGAAATTGCAGTCTGGTCTCTTAGAGAAAGGTTTTATGATGTGACAGTCTGGTACCGAAACTGGGTGATTACTTCTGTTCTTATCTGAAAGCAACCTGTAAACAATATGAAGCATCACTTACAAGCCTGTCCTATAATTAGTTCAAGGAGAGGTATTTAAGAGATCTTGGAGGGGGATATAGCAAAAAAATGACAGTGGCTTTCTCTTTTAGGGTTTTAGGTTTTGAAATTACCCTAATTTGAAAGCGATCTTCTGGAAATTTGTGGGCAGTGGCAAGGGAGCGTTTTTGTAGTTAACCACTGTGTGATCCACCCACGTGGCTCAAGGCAGTGGGAAGAAGTGCTCTCTGCTTCCTTGGGGGCTTGCCTGGAGCTTCAGGCTGCAAAATGTGCTGTGGTGACAGCTGAGTCCTGGGCTGGGATCCTTCCCTTCAGGTGCACTTGGTGTGGGTGGCTGGTCTGGTTTTCACGTTTGTTTGGTTTAGCCAAGTTTATAGTTGTTGTAGTCCTCTGAACTTGGCCTTATCTGCTGTGCACTGGAGTTCTGTGTACTCTGTCCCTGCTCCTTCTCTTCCCCACCCTGTGCTCCAGTCACATCACCCCTGCTGTCTGGAGGTGGTGGGTGGGGTGGTGCCTTCGGGCTTGCTGTGTTTCCCCGTGCAGCTGGAATTTCCCACTGCCTATTTAAGGCTTATCGTGGGCCGCAGTCAGGATCTGGGGACTGAAAGATTATCAGATTCCTATCTAATCTGAAAAGTTTTTCCTTCTCAAGGATAACAAAGGAATGAGTGATGGTGCGTGACTTGCTCCCAGTGGAAAGCTGTAAAATCATGGAATCTTTAGAGCTGGAAAAAAACCTTCAAGATCATCAAGTCAGCCCAGCACCACCATTGTGTTCCCCCCCCAAACCACGTCCTCAAGTGCCATGTCTACGTGTTTTTTGAACACTTCCAGAGACAGGGACTCCACCACTTTCCTAGACAGCCTCTTCAGTGCCTTACAATCCTTTCTGTGAATTTTTTTTTCCTAATATCTTATCCAAACCTCCTCTAGCACAACTGGAGGCCACTTCTTCTTGTTCTGTCACTTGTTACCTGAGAGAGGGAGCCCCCGGTGGTCCAGGGGAAAATTCACTGCACTGTCACTGCAGAGACCCGGGTTCGATTCCCGGTCGGGGCCCCTCCCCGGGCAGATGGAGCTCGTTAGCCCGTAAGGCAATCCATCTACGTCCTGAGGACCTCGCTGCCACCGTCCAAGCGTGCTTGGCCCCGGCAGATGAACCTCAGGATTAAAGGGTGGGCTCAGTTCCGCGCACACTGTGTCTCACCTAAAAAATCCAATGCGCAGGCTGGAAGGTGGAAAGACCTTCCCCGGTTCTTCGTTCGCGAAGAGACTGGCCCCATTACCTGAGAGAAGAGGCCACCCTCCCCCCCCCTACTTTGCTACAAACCCCTTTCAGATAATTGTAGAGAGCAATGAGGTCTCACTGAGCTTCCTCTTCTCCAGGCTGAGCTTCCTCAGCTGCTCATCAGACCTGTGCTCCAGACCCTTTATCACTCTGTTGCCCTTTGTTTGCCTCACTGTACCACGCAGAGGTGCTGCAGCAGGAACTTACACACCCTACCCTGGCTTTTAGTAAATAGTTTTAGTAAGGAGGAATTTATCCCAATGTATAGGAATAAAATATATGGGAGAAACAGAAATTACAGTTTATACTGGATCAGTTTCCAGGATTTAAACATGAACATCTCTCCCAAGTTTTGAAGGAAAATAGCAAAATTCTAGATGTGTCTGGCCAAAAAGGGGCTGTGTGTGACCTAGCACGCTTGGTAAACTGGAAGGCTCGGGAAGCTAGACTTGGTTTCAGAATAACCTTTTTAAATAGGTTTCAGACTAAACTGCAGTAGTTTGTGGCTTTGTGAAATGGGAAGGGTTTTGTGGCTCAGGGGGGGCTGATGCTAAAAGTGGCACGTTTCATTTCAAGTTTCGGAGGGAAGGAAGCACGCTCTTGGTATGCAAGTGAGCAGAATTCAACACTGGGCAAATGATGCCGCAGCCTTCTGGGTGTTTCATGTTAAGTCTGGTCTGACTGAATTTTCAGACGGTCAAGATCCATGACATTCGTATTTCCAGCTGCCACTTCTGAGAAATTTTGTGTTTGTTCTCTGCTTGATTCCCTTGGGCAGAGGTCAGTCCAAGAGCTAGAAGGATGTCTGCACACA